TCGGCGGACCGCCTTCGGCATGGTCAAGATCAGCGAGGTGGTAGGTACCGCGCCCCGGGCCGGGCCGGGCCGGGTTCGCCCAGGGACGCAGTATCCGTCGCCTCTCCACATGCGCGTCAGCCCGTGAGCGGGGTATTGGGATCCAGGCCCTTTGCCCCAGCGGGGTGTTGTTCCTCCCCCTGCCTCGGCGCCCTCTCTGCTGCGGGGGGAGTGGGGTGGGGAGGGGCTGGGAAGCAGAGGGGTTCGTCCCTGCGCCCCCTAATCTGTGAGGCTCGCGGGAGTTGGAGCGAGCTCTGTTGCGCTTCAGGTGGGACTTTAACCTCCCTCTGTCCTTCATCTCGCTCTGCTAGCACGAAAGGTTTCTGCTTGCATGGCCCTGCTGAGAACTGTTAGCACTGCCACCTCCTTCGGGTCACGTTAGGCTGGAAGGTTAAAAGAACCCTTGAGTTGTTGGTGAGTGTCCTAAATCCCAACCGGGGTCGGTTATAAATTCTGCCTCCCCTCCTCCTTTTTTCTTGGTTGGGTTAGTTTCACTTGTGCTAATGGTTGCTTGATGGTCTTATTTTTAAGAGCGGGAGACCTGGGAATTCTGATCTTTTGATACGAGGCAGCAGGTGAGGGGCAAGTTTGAGAGTCCCTTTTCTGCCTCACATCGATTCATCATCTGGTAAACAGTTCACATCCATTGTTTCTCTGTTGCTGAGTCAAAAGTGTGTAGGAGACGGTGTTTTTGATGTTTTGTAGGTGTATTCACCTACCCCAGATTACTTTGGCTTGGTTTATGTGTATATGTGCTACTTAGCTGTTAGTGTATTTTTAGTTGTAAAGATGTATATGCTCCCCGCTAAAATACCACTTTACATGTTTAGAGCTCTATTGAGTAGATGTGGGACCTGGAGAACAGAGGTTCTGGTGAAGTGAAAGTGATATTAGCTCTGGCATTTTTTGTATATAAGAAAGTTTTATTTAAAATTGTTTAGGCCACAAACTTCATTTTAAAAACAGCCTGTGCTTTCCTACATGCCATTTGGAGCCCACTTATTCACTTTCTTATATTGTTAGTTGGTGGATTCAGGACTAAATTGTATGTGTACAGATTTGTAGCCGACCTGTACATAGCTTTTGATATTATTGCAAACATTGTCCAGTTATGAAGGTGACCAGTTAATCTACTTTTTTTAATTTGAGAAGAATATTATTTTTATTGAACTGTGATTGAAGAGAAGTAGGATCTGTGCATCTACATACCTGTACCATCAGAGTATCATGATTTTTGATTATTGAAGAAGTAACTAGTTGTGCAGCTGACATTCTGTGGCCCACATTTTGCCCTTTTATGAATCCTACTTCTGTTGACTTAAAGCAACACTGCAACTTGAACTCTAGTCAGCTCAATAAATGAATTGAAATAGCTTTCAGTCCTACACCTGCATTTGAATCCCACTGCTGAACTGTATTTGATTTGATTTGCAGGATCAGGTGGGGACTAATCAAGAGGACTTACCCATTGTGCTATATATTGCGTAGACATGCCATAAAAAGACAGTCTAGGGTGCCGATCCTACACAGATTCTCAGTGTATAAAGTTAGCACATGTGTGAGTAGTTTCCCTTGACTTTAGTGGGATTACTTTTAGCATATAAAGCAAAGCATGTGGCTATGTCTTTGCAAGACTGGGTCCTATACTTCTGGCAAGGTTCACAGGAGGAAACAAACAGGAGGAGAATAAATGGGAGAGCACAAAGTAGCTGTAAGTCTAATGAATCGTATTAGTAAAAATTCCTAATTCTTGTAGTTTTACACACTTTAGTTTTTAATTTTTTTGTCCTTGTTTGTGGAAAATTCTTACAAGCAGAGGACACTCATGAAAGTTCGGATCTTGCAGGCGAGTAATTTCATTTGCAGTAGTTCCAATCGGCACTGCTTGTCCTCATACATGTTGCTCACTTCTGTACTTGCAAGTTCAGGCCTCAACTGACTGAAGTGGTGTTAAATGCACAAATAAAAACACATTGAAGAAATAGGGAAATATTTTTAAATGTATTTTAGATAGTACACGTCACGTATTAACAATTTTATAGTAAACGTTTTTAATATAAGTGTGATAAAGATATTAGTGTGTGTGTCTCTCTTTTTTTGAATATGTGAGTACAGCCGTCCACTATATGTCCAAGATGCATTCCAAAAAACTTGGACTTATAGCGAAACAACTAAAAGTGGGGAATTTTTTTCCTGCGGCTGACTTCCATTTGCGCAAATGGGGTTGTTGCTCCCCCTTTCCCTCCCCCGACTTAAGAGCGGGAAATGCTTATAATGCATCAGTTCCTACAAGCATCAGCAACTTTTGTGTGAAATGGATGTATACCGGGGCGACTTAGAGCAGGAATACCTTGTACCAAGGCAGCACAGTATATGGTATATACACAGCACAGTATGTGGTATATTGTGATTTTTCTAGGTGTTTTTGTGCATATGTGTGTGTGTGAGATGATACTGTTTATCTTTCACATCTGGCTTACTTTATTAGTGGGATTTGTTTTACCAATTCTTTTTCTGATAATTGCAAATTTAGGGATTTTTTTTCTCTATCTTCTTGGAGATGCCACTCCATAAGCTAGAAATTACTTATACAGTTTCATATAGTTGTATGACCAATGCATTAGGGAAGAGATGTATATTAAGGTTTGTTTTTTCCTTCCTTCTTGTTTTCTCTCTCAAATGCTCCCTCTCTTTGTGGCAGATAATTAGCACAAGATTCAGAAATTATAGTGGGCATATGACGTATTAAAAATTAATACAGTAGAAAGCACTTATTTTCAGACTTAATTTAAAATATATTCAGGGTGTTTTTCCTTCAATGTCATGCAGGTGTTAACTTTTTAAATCAGAGATTTTGATCTATATGATTGTAAAATATGTTGATTCTGGGGTACTTCTACAACTAGATTGCATATTTGAATAAAGTAGAACACTTACTATATTGTCAGTCTCTCTTTTCATCTCCCCTCAGAAACACGATGCTTTTGTAGTATGTGGTATTGATCATCTTAGGTCCTATGTCCTGAGAGTAGCTCCATTGGAATTAATATGACTAGTGATATGTTTGAGTGTGGGGCCTAAGAAACTGTCATCAATGTGCAACATGCGCCTGTTGTTAGCTATACATGTGCTAAGGGTCCTGTTTTCTGGCGGTAGCAGTGCTGGAGTTGGTGTTTCCTAACATAATCTGCCATAGGACTTCTTGTTTCTCAGGTCTACTATTTTCTCCTCTTGCAGTTACTGCAGCACACTCCTCCTTTTTTGGCAAGTCATATTTAATATTTGAAGTTTAAATGGAGATTTGAAGACTATAAATAGGTTTCTAAATTTTGATTTTGTTTCAAAGAGCAAGCCCCAAAGGCATAACAGTATGTTTCATAAAAACTTTAAAAAAAATCCTACTAGGAAAGAAATAGGAAGAACACATTGTACTGTACTTACAAACGCAGGACGGTCCTTATCAGCTTAGCAAATATTTTGCTACATTTAGTCCATTGTTAATGAAAAGGTGTATGTGGACTAACCTTAGTGGAACTAAAACATGCTTTGTATGGTTTTGATAAATGTAGTCTATTTGTCATGTACGGTGGGACAGAATTTACCAAGACATGTAGAGGTTTTTGACATGAGTCTGAAGCGTACTGATGTTCTACCATGGCCTGGCATATTTGGCTTCTGGCTATTCATATTAGTAAGTAGGAATCCCAGAATGAACATCGGAAATTTGCAAAATAGCAAATAAGTAAACAAACCCTTCTAGAAAGAAGGTGGCAGGGAGGGTATGATGGGGTGTACCAACTTCACACTGGCCTGGGAGGGGTTAAGCCGGCCTGTTTGGCTAAGAAGGCCCCTCCCCCACAGCCCTGCTAGGCATGCTCCAACTGCAGGCTTACTATAAAAGCCAGGGGAACAGCTTACTGAGGGCTGACCATAGGAGGGGAAGGAGCTCCTGTCTGAACACAGCAGCAACTACTGTGGCAAGTGGATGCTAGGGAGAGCAACTAACTGGGAGGACGCAGGTGGGGAAGACTGCCCCATGGACTGTGGGTTACTATAGACTAGGCCACTGGGCCTTGCTGCCCCGCTGCTAGAGGCTATAGGCAGGGGTCCTGATTATGGGGTGAGGCCACGCAGACGGGACTCAAGAGACCCACCACCTGGCTTCCCTGAGGATGGGGCTTCCCACCTCATGACTGAGGGGAAGAGTAAAAACAGTGCATTCCAAAATGTAGTTTAGTCACTTATTTGACAAGTCTATTGTTTTAATTATTTTAATGTTTAACAGTTATACCTTCAGTGTTCTGTAGTAGTTTGTCAATGTAATAAAGGCCACAGTACAGCATTCCAAGTCTTTGAGAAGTGTGAATGCAACAGTATGCACGTTAAAGAGGTTCTACATTATAGTAAATACAGACTGGTACAGGAAGGATTAAATTAGTGTGTGATATATGTGTTGTAATGCAAATTCCTTTATTCAATAGACATAAGATTGAGAGGATAATTTATTAATTCAGGACAGACACTGCCACTTATTAATCTCTGTCCATTCAAATAACTGCTACATATGTTTACTGTTTTATCATGGATTTTGGCAATACTGCTGAAATGATTGCTACTCCAAATGTACATTTTGTTTCTCAAAAAGAAAGGGGAGACAGGGAAGGGAAAGACACATGACTGAAGAATTTGCAGACAAACCCCGCACTTATGACCTAATTGGTTCCTGGAGAACTGTCCTAAGTCAAACCCTTATTTCCCAGAGGCTCAGTAATTAAATGAGGGTTCCATTCCTGGCTGGGGGCTGTGTCAGGTGGAGGCAGTGCGGTACGAGCTGCTTGCAGAGACGGCTGGGGGCTATGCCAGGGGAAGGTGGCAGCCGGAGCAGGGAGGTTGTAAATGCGGGGAGTCGTAAGTCAGGTGGTCGTAAGTCGGGAGTCACCTGTAGTACAAATAGTTGTCTTCAAAAGAAGTCTGTAGTGACTCAAATTACACTGTTACATGATTGAACATCATTGATAATGCTGGAGTGTGACACTTGAGGCATGAAGAATAATTCAAGTGTTTTGTTAATAAATCTAGTATATATTTGAGAGAGCTTATGTGTCTCTCCATCTATCTGTTCAAGAACTCCTCCTAATGGTAAAAGCTTAGACCATCAAATTTAGTATTCAGCTTCCGCTTACCATAACTTAAAGCAATATAAGGGTGTGGTTGTGCCAGGAAAATGGAATGTGCCTGGAATGGGATTGCTTCTCATAAAGCCACACTGAAAAGAGAATCACCGGGCAGGTGAAAGGGGCTGGCTGGAGCTGGTATCTGTTCAAGAACTCCTCCTAATGGTAAAAGCTTAGACCATCAAATTTAGTATTCAGCTTCCGCTTACCATAACTTAAAGCAATATAAGGGTGTGGTTG